GAGCAACAGAACCATACAATTATGTTGTCAAGTGATGTCATCGACACACCACACAATACACATTATGATAGTCGTGCACCACGGATGATTGTACAATCATGTATATCATCTGAGCCATGTCCTTATTTTCAAAACACCACAGCTTTCCTAGCTATCATACTTCATAGTTGAGATGCAAAAAAGTCACATGAATCATGATTGTCCACAGGGGAAAAAACTGGACAGGGATAGTCCCAGTATGTCATGTACATCGTCAATGGTACCTGATTGTCTGCACAACACGCATACCAGAAGTAGGTATTCAGACTGCCGTGCAGCAGTGCAGTAGAGCTTATCTACTGACTACTGTGACCAGCACTATACTACTTCTTCAAGTTCTTGCGTAGGGATGTCGACCGAACAATTATCCTATCCACGATGGGAATTAACCGTATAGGGCTTGAAAGTGATGACGTCAAAACGGCCAGGGAGTAGTAAGTTGACATCAGATTTCTATTTTTGGATGCACTAAGGTGTGGCTTTGCTATTGCCTAAATATGTGGGTGCATAGCAACCCACTCATGTCGCATGCAGGTGTGACTTTTATTTCGCCACCAGTTGTAACCCCGCCCCCAGTAGCCAAATCAGTCAGTTTCACTGGCTACATCACCTTGCTGTGAGTAAGACCGCTTGAAATGTGCTTGGATCCATACAAAAACTGGATCCAAGTGGATCCAGTTTTTGAATTTTTGAAATTGTTGCTATGCTGTGACGTAGCACTTTCAAGCCCTATTGCGTGACCGATCCTTTCAATGTTCTAATCTTTACTTTTCCTTTCCCACCTGGATTCCTCCTTGGTTTCCCTTTTCTAATCCCACAAAGTAGTCCCGGCAGTCAAGAACAAAAGGGCACAAGACATGTACGGCATCGTGAATTCTAGGATGACCAAGAGTACAGTCATCATCTGTTCCTCTTGCCGTCTTGGAGCGACCCAAACGTGCCAAAGGCTGACCTGGCATGTCGAGCTGGGGGTTCACCACCATGATTGGAGGGTAGCAAAAGTGTCAAGCAATCCAGAAGTGGACTGTGAGTGTGTGAGGAAATAACATTGTGCAAGATCATAAGACTGTGTATGTATTATGTGTATGTGTGTGTGGGGGGACAGTTCCACACGAGGGAGGTTTTGAAGAGAAACAATGGTTTGGATACGTGCTCTTTGCAAGAGTCCATAGCCTCTGGTGCTAGCGTCGTCAAGGTCACCTGCCCTCGCGCAAAGCTCACTGTATTCCTCGCAGTTATAGCAGCTGTTCACTGGACCTCATTGCGATTGGTTCGGCTAGTTACTCTGAGCTCCGCTGGCGCTGATGAGACCTAACCAGGTGGAAACAGCTAGCTCTCCGGAGATAGAGTAGCATCTGGGGTTATGGACTCTTGGTACTAACTACATGAAATTTGCAAGTCTGGTCCACTAGTTGAAACTCAACAAACGTGTGTAACGTCCCTGAGCTCTGAATAAGCAAACAATGATTGAATCTGCCTGCAGTATTACAGCAGTGATTCAAGTTAAGCCATTGCAGTTTACATTACGTCCGTCAGTTTGCTTGTATGTATCACATGCAACAAGGCTGTTCACCTTCTCAGATACTCGTAGACACGCTTGTGCAACTCGAGCGGAGCCAGGTATAGCCCATAAACCTACAGCAGCCAGCACGGTAGGGGAAATCCGACCTCACGGGTGAGTTACACTCACATACAGTGCACAGCAGCAGCATACTGGCAGTACCAGTGCATTCACAAAGTCAGACTTCACTGCGCACGGCTACACTGTAAACGGTTCCATCTCATGACTACAGAGGTGCCTGGTATCACTTGCTGAAGTACAAACGTGAGGAGTCCAGCAATGGGAGCCACATGAAGTACTTCTTACATGTCACAGCTACCAACTGTTTGCGTGCTCTGCCGCAGATACCCAGAAATAAGCCAAGGATGTTAGAAAAGGAAAAGCAAACACATTATTATAACTAATTGCAATTAAAAAAAGGAGTATGTGAGCAAATAAATAAATTCTAGAATGTCCTGGTCATAGGCAAAGTAACGCTGTATGTTCTCTAGAATAAAGTTCACTTCGCAGGAGCAACAGTGTTAACAATCTAGACCAATGCTTGTAGCAAATGTACCGAAGCTTGCGGTACTTCACTATCGTTACACAGTGGCTTTGCAATCCAGCGCCGGTGGGAGAAAAGAAGAAAGTGTTTTCGCATCCCTCAAGACAATCACTCAAAGCGACAACAATCAGAGGAAGAGAGAGAGAGAGAGAGAGAGAGAGAGAGAGAGAGAGAGAGAGAGAGAGATGCAAAGCCTTTCCTTTAAACACCCCTCATTGGCAAGTCCTGGGTTACTGCACAATGTTACACAGTATGTACCTTTGGTCTATGGCCTGTTGCCTTGGTTCCTGTGCTCGGTCGAAGCAGTGTCACTGGTTACCAAGGCCGCCTGAGCGGTGCAACAGAAACTAACGCAGTCCTCCCAGGCTGCGACCTCCACGGGAAAAGCAGCTCAGTGAGCACGATAGGAAGCTTCATCCACCGAATACCTGGCGGCTTCCTGGCAAGGACAAGCCACCACTCTATCCCACGTTTGACATGGCTCAGTTGCGTACCGCTGCAATGATGCACTCACTGACTGATGAGCTGAAAGTACCATACGGAGGAGCATGGCCGTACTCGTAGCTGCATTTAGGATCTGAATAGGTACACGTAGACAGAAAGTCACAAACAAAACCTTTTTAGAACAAAGACCACACAGCAGACTCAAACCTTGAGGAAATATCCAAACGAGTCCAGGTGGTGATCTAGTCAGTGATTCAGCCATTCAGCTGGAAAAAAGTGCTTGTGCATCTGACAATTAGTACCCTGAAAACGGCTGGAAAGGATACCGGATGTGAGTTCAGCTCTCTCAGCGACTCTCAGGCATTCACTACACAAATCTGGCTGGAAATCCATTAAAGCAGGACGGACAATCTTCCACTAACACGAACAGAAACTGATCGAGTTCTTCATCTGGTGTTTACCATTGCCTGCTAGATGTGACTGCCGATGTCATCATGGATTCCTCCCGATTGTGCCCCTGGAGCGCAGACTCTCGTACCTATGGTTGGAGTCAAAGATAGAATACTTGACAGCTATGAGGGTGACTGGGCCTCACGGAACAGTGAACATCCTATGATCCAGAAGACACCAGGAGGAGGGAACCACAGTTCCAGCCGGCTTGAAATTCAAGGGGGGGGGGGGGGGGGGAGTTCGTGCATAGCTGTTCACATCTGTATTGCTCCACATACTCGGACCCACTTTCTTTCTCATGCAATGATGCTGACCCGTGCCTCTTGAAGGCCACCAGGAAAAGCTTCTTGTAAAGCAAACCAAGCTCCTACAGCAGCACAAGGTAGTTTCTAGCAGATCAACTGCTGAAGCTGAGGGAGACAAAAGCACAAGCCCCCAGTTGACAATATTCACCGGGCCCAACTGAACAAGCCCACTGCATATTGCCAAATAAGGAATGTATGAGGAGTGCATGTGAATACGCCACGGCTGTTTCGAGTGCGACATGAGGCAAAATGGCGTCGATTTTTTTTGCACTGCACGCGCTGGATGCATGCGCATACTGTACGTCAGAATCCCATGGTAACATGTACGCGCGGAGTAGCGTGGCCAAGCGATCGTACTTTCGAACAGGAATTTTTCAAAATCCATCGAGTGATAAGATGAAGTTTGAAGGATTTGTTTTATTCTCTCCTGATAATAGTCGGCCCTGTTCGGTGTACCTGTGTTGTCTGGCCTCGCGCCTCGTCTTGCCGGCCAGCTGTGAACAGTTTGTGAGATCGAACTGATGCCAAATCAATGAGATGCGGCGAAATCGCCAAACTGTGAATCTGATTTGAATAAAATAATAACGATAGAGAAAGATAATGGATACATTAACCTGTAGCTGTTCTCCTTTGCTGACGATAGCAGGTGCTCCAGTTCGTTGTTAGTTTTCTGCTCTTTACTCACGAGCAAGCTGGAGGCAGTTCGTTTACTTGAACTGACGCCAACTCACCCACCAACCACCCGCGGTCAAGGCACTACACTGGAACTGAGCAAACAAAGTACTTCAGGACTGTTCCTTTCTACTTCGTTTGCGAGGAGCTGGGACCAGAGGTCGTAAACTAGGGAGAGCTGCGGTAAGGTGCTGCTGGACGGTGACTTGAAGCCTTTGTAGAGGATCTACAATGCCACCATGACAGAGAAGAATGGTGTTGAATTCTTTGTGAATGGATTCTGCCCCATGCTCAGCAAGCAACCCAAGACCTACTTTGAACTTCCGCATGAAGGGAACTACATGACACTCCAAAAGGTGCAGCTTTGGAGTAACCCGGCCAAGGCTACGAGGAACAATCTCCCTACGAACTGAAGCCATAAACTTGTCGATATCGCTCTGCAGCTTGTCGCAAACTTCTGTTGAGACTGCAGAAGTTCCGGAAAATGCGACGTGACACTTTGCGTACTGTTGGAACAACAGCTTGTATCTGCTGGATACAGCTGAAGCATCCGCAGCCAGAGAGGGTGCACGCTCCTCAACAACTGCAAGGAATGAGGTCAAGTCAGTGATGACGGAGTCTGTAAGAGCGTGGTGGACATGGTTGCCAATAAATGAACCCCCATGGTACACTTGGCGGCAGATGTTGTGCTTTTGTAAAACAGCCTCAACGTACTGGTTGCAAGGCCCGTCGTTGAGCTTTGCATTTGTGAGTGTCTGCTCGTGTTTGCTGATGTCACCCTGCAGAGCTGTGACCTGCTGCTACATTTGCGTGGCAGCATGCTGGAGGTTACCAACCAAAGCCTGGAGGTTGTTTTGCTGCTCGGGATTGCCAAAATGGAGAGAAACCCATCGCATCTGGCCAGTCAAGACAGCAAGCCGACTGGATTTTTCTTCCAGTTCTAATTTTTTTCTTACATTCTTTCTGATCTTCTATCAGCTTTTTAAAGGCAGCTGAATCTGCCTCACTCACCTCTACCTCGCATGCCATTTTCAAATCAATGTGTCTACACTCCTTGACAAAGGGGTCAAAGACCCATAAATGGATTCCGAGATCAAGATGATAGGGCTGGCAGGCACACATGATCAATAGGCACAGAGAGCATGGCAGGACGTATGGCATTGTAGAAATGCTTTGCTTTAGATAAGCGCCCGCCATCAGCCATAAATTGGCCATGGTGAAGTGAGAGTGTGTCGAGCGTGCGTGGCTCTGGCTGCTGCTCCCAATCAGCGGGGCACTGTTGAATCTGTTGCTTTGTACTCAAGCAGTGCAGACACGGATGCACTCCTGCAGATCCTGACAGGCCATAAACAGTCGTTTGAAACTCGTAGTCGCCAAACAAAATAAGGCGAAACGACTTGTTCTGGCACGTGGTTGCAGCAAGGCTGTCAATGTGTTGCACAAGTGACGCAAAAGCAGTGGAAAGGTTGCCCGGGGTATCTTTTGCATTGAACACAAGGATAGGGATGGTGTTCTTCACAGCATTTGGGTGACTCTGTTGCAAATTTGGAAGGATAATTTGAAAGACCTGCCCCCATGATCTCCCCCCAACTTCACCCAAATATCATCCTGCGGGATAATACCATGGTCAGTAAGCATGCCAGCCTCCTCGTACTGGTCCAAGAAGACAAGGACAATCTCTGTGAGGTTGCATGCCACAACCATTGGTGACGAAACTACATCACTACTCGGAAGAGTGAACGGGCACATTTCGGAAGCATAAAATGCAGGTACCTCTTCCGCAAGCTGTTGCCGCATGGTATTCTCTGACTCAATCTCACACCCAAAGGACTTGAGCCACCTCCGCAGTTTCCTCAGCTGGTTCCAAGGCATGTGCAGATCTGCTTTTAAAGCAAGGCCAGAATGAGATGAAGGTGCACAAGGAGACACACCAGCAGATTTAAGGAACTTTTCACGATCTATCTGACTCATACTACGTAGCTCATAGGCATCTTGCTTACCGACACCAGCAGTGCCCCCACAGACTAAATCTTTCGCCTGTCGGATTTCTGCCGACCTCCTCTGCATCTGCCTTACAGACACAGCATCACTGCCTCCTTGCGTTGTACGTACATACAACGCAGGGGTACCACCCGTCCGTAACTCAAGCTTACCATCAGTGGTGGACTTCGACTGTACCAAGTGGGTAGTCAAATGCTCCGCTGCCTCCCCACGAAGCTTGCTGGGTGATGCTGTCAATACATCTGCGACAGTACTCGACCTGGTCACACAGACAGGACCACTGTATGTATTGAAAGGACAGACCTTCACATGCGTCTGCAATGAGAACAGTTTCATGCTGTGCTGGCAGCCAGAAAGAGAGGACATGTAGTCGTCACACCTCACTGGCAGATGAGAAAGACATTCCAGCTCATATGATGACAACTTTCTCATTCCAGATGCATACATGTCACACATGCAAGAAGGCCAGGTACGCGTAGTGCTGAGGTGCTCCCAAACACATAGCACACAAACTAGCTTGCTACAGCAAGGCGTCGTAAGTGCATTGTCGGCGACGTGCCGGCATACGCTACACGTAACAGAAGGGAAAATCAATTGAAACCGATCAGGTGACAGCACCTGGCTCGCTTTGTAGGAAGGAGACCCCATGTCCAAAAGCACCTGCATGCTTTCAACATCAATGCCAGTGGATGTGGCACTGTCGTCTGCTGACGCAGAGGCCGACGAAGACAATGCAGAGTACTGTGTACTAGTATATGTAGGCATTTTTTCTTTTTTGGTTTCCTCCCACCCTTGCTGCTACTTTTCATGTTCTTGCAGAACGTACAGTCTGGCTCTGCATGGGCCACCCAAGCTACAAGTTTGCCTGCACAGCCACCACCACAGTGCCTGTACCCCTTTTCCTCACTACGTAAAATGACTTGCTGGGAAGGGCTACAGATGTAGCGTGGATGTATGTGTGCCTCATCCTTCGTGACATCGCACTCAAAGACATGCTGTATGCCAACGGAGTATTCGTGAGCTTCATGCTTGTTTTTGTTGGCATGCGACGAGAATCTCTCCCCACCAATTCTGCACACAGCTGAAAGGTACTGCACGTGTTGATCCATATTCAATGCAAAGTTGGCATCACAAAAGTGCCTCGGTCTAAGGCAAAGTATGTCGGTCCAGCAAGATTTGTGCAGAATTGGAAACTAGACAGGCAAGGTAAGCACAGAAAACTAAAAACTAACCCAGGAAAAAAAGGACGAAGAGCAGCAGCAGCCTTTGGAAAACTACCTCGGGTGAACCCAGCTCCTACGCTACGACTTCAAAACAAACAACCTCTCAACACTGGAAACGGCTCCAACAGGAAAACGAAACGGAGAAAGAAGATCGTTCGAACGATCGAGTTGTCAGCATTTTCTCTTGCACCCGCTGCACCGGGACTGGGTGTTCCGAGTGGTGTGTGAGCGACGTGGCGCGGCAATATCGATGGGTTTGAGACGTGAGTGAGGATCGCGAAATTGAGGCTCTCAGCGAAAATTTTTGAAAAAAGCGCCGTTGATTGAGCTGGACTCGAACCCGGGGCCTCATGTCGCTTTTCGCGAGTTTTGAACAGCCGTGACGCTGGGATCAAGAATGCACTGTTCAACATCGTACACAACCATGCCCAGGTGGCTGTGTACGCTGTTGCTTGTACGCCATACGATGTCATTGGGAGTACATGAGCATCAGTCACTAAGCATTCAACAAGCAATCCAACTGCTTACCCTTTCTTCACACTACTTGTCAGTTTGGAAGCGACCGAGTCCTTCGATGGGAAAATTGGCACAATACATGGTTCTCCATTCGTAGTCTCGATAACCTCCAGCGCCACGGACTCGACGTTCCACTCGCCATTTCCCGGATCAGAATGCTGTGCCTTGGCGAAGACAACACCTCTGCCGTTGTCGCCCATGACGCGGAAGTGCAGCTGGTTGTATTCCGCATTTATCAGGACACGGTTATCCCAGTCGACTCCGCCGCCCTTGATCTTGTTTCCAATGTATTTGCGGCCGCTGGGATGGTCCTGAACTAGCTGCAGGCTTTGCGTATAGCATGTCTTATTGTTGATGCGATCTGTGAACACAAAGCAAAACCAAAACGCACGAAACACAGAATAGATCAGACACACGAGAATCCAAATGATGTATATGGCATACTTCCGTATATGGTGCAACTCCTGCACCCCGTATGCACGAGCCCAGAGCTAGCTTCCACAAGCGCTCGTACACACTTCCCTTTCGTTTTCGCACACTGCTTTGGAATTCAGTTCTTCGCTTGTTGTCCTCGCTAGTTATGAATAAACTCTGTCTGACACCACACGGCGCAGTGAACATTTCGTCCTGTAGTTTTCCTATTCAGTCCAGACCAACCTAGTTTGTAGTGTCTTACCTGGCCTAGTAGCAGTGCAGCACTCCGTTGGATTTTAGATTGGATTCCCCCGCAGTTAATTTGTTAGTTCGTTTTAGATAGGAGTGTTGTTCAATTTCATTCGTAGGAAGTAGTCGTGTGAGCTGTCACAACAGGTATTTGTGTTCAGCATGGCGAGCAGCGATCCCGCAGCATCTTCTGGAAATGGAGTGCCTGATATCCCCATGCTCCTGCAGCTCCTGACAACTCAGGCACAGGCTGTTTGCAGAGCGAGACTAGCAGTTCCAGACCCTCATGCAAAGGATGGCTGCCAACAACGTCAAGACCAGCAGTTCTGCACCCGCACCCAAGTCTGTGTCCGCAGAACGCCCAGTATTGTTGTCTACTGCCAAGGTGGCAGAATTTATCGCTTGGGAGGAGGCCTGGCGCGACTATGCGCAATGCCAATGTCTCGCAAGCCATGATCGCCACACACGCATGTCAGCGTTCTCCCAGGCCCTAGATGAGGACCTGCGCCGCTTCATTCGAGAAGGCAGTATCGCCTTCCCGGACAACGCTGACATTGCTGATGCCATCCCGGTCCTCCAGCACTATATTCGGCGGCAGAAAAACCCGCTGCTCGACCGAATCGAGTTTTACAAAAGACGGCAGCAGCGTGGGGAATCATTGACTCATTTTATACGGCCCTCCGTGAACTGTTTCATGCCTGTGACTGTTCTGGATGTTACGTATGTAACACCTGCAACCAGGCGATGTGTAACCCTTGCAAGGCATCCCTGTTGAAGTTCAATAATGATATTCTGCGCGATCGCATCGTCACAGGAGTATTTGAAGACGACGTGCGTCACAAGCTGCTGGCCCTCCAGAACTTCGATCTGGATGCAACAGTGAAGCTCTGCCGTGCTGAGGAAGCAGCCTGCCAAACTTCCTCTGGCATTCCCTCAAGTGGCCATGTACACGCAGCCAAGAAATCCACTTATAAGCAGCAGAAGACAAGCCGGCCCCGGCCCGCTCCTGTGAAGTCTTACACCAGACAAGCCCACAGGTGACAAGTGTCCCAACTGTGGTCACAGTCCTCACACCAAGAACCCATGCCCTGCAAAGTCACGTACATGCAATGGATGCCAACGTGTCGGACATTTCCGGTCCATGTGCCCGCACAAAGGCAAGTCCACAGCATCCGGCAAAGTCGGCCAATTGAAGTTGCAACGTGCTTCACTTCGACATGGTTTAGAAATTACTGTCCACACGCAGCTAAACACGGAACCAGCCGCTGAAGCCATGTCATGGATTCCGGACACCGGCAGCGATGTTGATGCCATTGGGCCAGCACATCTTTCCCAGCTAGATGGCTTCCCTGAGAACCTTGCAGTCGATTCTGACACCGTCTCAGCAGCAAACGGCACCTCTCGTGTTAGTCTTGGAAAGATTTCTGCCACGCTCTCCCTTGGCTCAGCCCCGCACACCACAGTACTTCATGTGTATGAAAACCTCAACACCAAACTGAAAACATCACTAGTTTCTGACGTGCCGTGTGATAGCTCCCACGCCATTACCCAACGTGACTGCTTCTTTCTTCTTGACTGGTCTGTATTCCTCAATACAAGCAGGCTGTCTGCGCTCTGCTGGTCCAATGCCTCAGGATACTCGCTACAAGTGAACTATAGGGCTTGAAAGTGCTACGTCACAGCATAGCAACAATTTCAAAAATTCAAAAACTGGATCCAAGCACATTTCAAGCGGTCTTACCCACAGCATGGTGATGTAGCCAGTGAAACTGACTGATTTGGCTACTGGGGGCGGGGTTACAACTGGTGGCGAAATAAAAGTCACACCTGCATGCGACATGAGTGGGTTGCTATGCACCCACATACTTAGGCAATAGCAAAGTCACACCTTCGTGGATCCAAAAATAGAAATCTGATGTCAACTTACTACCCCCTGGCCGTTTTGACGTCATCACTTTCAAGCCCTATTGTCCCACTCACAGATCGCTCATTTCAAAAAAAAGAAAAAGAAAAATGCAGACACGCAACCTTCTCTGGATCAAAATTTACCGACGACATCTTTATTTGGCCCGTCCATTCTTACTTTCTTAGTAGTGATTAGTTCTTCTTGTAACCAGACGAGACCACACAACGCTTGCAGATACCAGTACTACTTGCTATTCACAGTCGTGGAGTGCAGTTAGTGGACTGGTTGTGCTGGTGTCTGCAAGCGTCGTGTGTTCTCGTCGGGTAACAAGAACAATTTGTCACTACTTCTCTGTATCGTCAGAATCACAACTAACTGGAGCCTGCGCAACTCCACATCACCTTCCGTCACAACTCGTTTTATAATCATTTTCATGATGATTGTAATCCTGCTGACGGTACACAAACTGCGCTGCTCGTGGTTGACCTCACACCCTGTACGCATACACAGAGCGGCTTACACCATGGAGATATGACGTTTGTCTGCAAACAAGTCGCGTCAGCAGCCTATCAGGAGTTGCCCGCTCTTGGGAGTGACGTACACTTGATATCGTGTATGTAGCACGTATCGACTAGTAGACCATACGCATAGATGTGCGAGTGATCAATTCACCCAATTGGGTGCTTTGACCGCAATCTGTGGCCGGCTGTGCACAAGCGTTTTCACATACGCACACGCCGAATGCATGTGCTCGTACTCAAAAATAAATTATTGACCATGCAGCATGGGTGATGCCAGTGTCGATATCTGTCATCATGGCTTCACTATTCAGGCACATGTGGCAGGTACTCACTCAAGACAACGTAGAGGCTTAATTTTCTTAAACTGTAATACAATATTATACTGCAATTCAATGCGGGGATTAATCCCCAGTTGGAGCATCCTGTTCAACTGTAATAATACGGTCCCAATCTGTGCAGGCTACAGGGTTCAATGGTCAACCAACAGCTTTGGGTCACGTCAAGAGTAAATACACTCCGAAGCATGGGCAACTCTGACTGGGCATGTTGTGTGTGTCTAGCCGACAGCGAAAATTAACACCCTAATTAATACAAAACAATGTGCTTGCAGCAACCGTGCACCAAGCACAATGGCATTTCAAGTCGGTGATCACTTGACTAAAGGTTCTCCGAGGAGAGCAATACACTTGCAAAGGTCGATCTCAAGGTTGCCTACTGGTACTAGTACCATGAAGTCCCAACTTAGAGTGTGCAACTCTGAATACAGGGTCTCTAATTGCAAAAGCTCACATCACATGTTCCAAGTACGACTTGTACTACGTACAACGAAGGCCAGCGTGCGCATAGTCCGAACATCTGCCATGATCTTTTTTGATGACTCGCATAAAGATACAAAGTGGGTTTCTGTCAAAGTGCTATTTTTCAACTCCACTGGTCGCTAAGAGCGGGCTGGGAACATACAATGGGAAAACTACACCACGTGATGTGAGTTTTCGCTGTCGGCAGACCCCATAGAGCGGGTGCCTATGTACTCTTGATACTACAGTAAAACCTGTAACTAAAGACCACCGTGACCAGCGACCAGCCTGGTACTACCGACCACTTCACCAGGCACGGACGGTCTCACATTCAAAATACACTGTGACTAGCGACTACCTGCTGAACGCGACCAGCGACCGCCTTTTCTTGTCCCAAAGACGACTTTTGACCCGTAACTAGCGACCGCGATGTAGGAGATCAAATGTTGCTCGAAGCTCCTTCTTGAAATGTTGCTGATTTAAAAAGTGATTTTCCATGGTCCTGAAAGGAATCTTTCGATACTACAGCTGAACAAATGAACGCAGATAATTTTGACGGTGGAGTTCGAGTCGGTGTGGACTGCACTACGCCTGTCAAAATAATTTCAAGCCCTGTCAAGAATAAACATGATAGGAAACGTCTTGGAGAGCGCATCGGAAGCGCTCTCTGATCGATGTTACTACTCGGAGGAGAAACGAAGACTGAGTGGCTCTGTCACCCCAGTCATACAGACGAATCGACGATTGCATCAAGGAATCCATAAACAAAGCAGCACTGCAAGGTCCTGATGCTGACGGATCGCGTTCAAGCAATCGAGAAGTCCGCACAACAAGGACCGTGAGTCAGTACGATTGATCGCATGAACAAATTTGAAGTCCAGCGCAAAACGAAACTTCCACAGGGAACATTTGACTCCTGGCTTCAGAAGTACTTAAGTAGCAGCTGAATTTGATGTCTGCAAAAAATTAATCTTTTCTCCGTCTCTCTGTCTCTCCCCATCTCTCCGTCTTTCTCTCCGAGTGTTGTTTGACCTAAAATAAGAATGGTATTGCGCAAGTCCTGGGGAATTGTATTGGCTGTGTTTTGACATACATATCATATAATGGGATCCATATATGGTCACGCAGTGCAAACCTCTAACTAAAGACCATCTGCTACTAAAGACCGCTTTTGCTGGCACCAAGGGGTGGTCGGTAGTCACAGGTTTTACTGTATACTTAAAGTGTATCATTGATGACCAAAATCAACGACTTCTTGACTTACTTCGCTGCTGTTAGTCTGAGGACATTGATTTTCCGAGACAGGAATCTTAAAGGAATGTTTTGACACGTTTTCAACACCTCTCCTTCATCCTTGTCCTGCATTGCGCGATGCTTCTGCTGTTTGGCGATCGAAGCGAGGATGCCATGTAGAAGAATAGGTTGGCTGCTGCTACAGTCATCCGTTGTGGAGTTTTGATGGTTGTTGGTGAGTTTTTACGGGTGAAGGCATTCTTCGTCTGTCCAGAAATTTGAAATTCGTTCCAAGTTACTCCGTGAAAACAGAAGTCGCCCGTCACCCATTTCCAAGCTTTTTGGGTGATATGAACAGATAGTATTAGTCCATGGACGAGCATCGTGCCATCTTATCGCAAAGTTGTCGAGTTGGTGGCCAGAAGATAGCCAACCTGACCAAGACAACCAAGTATGCCGTCGCCAATTTCCGACAAACCCTACTGCAGGCCCTGAAAATTGATGTTGGCCAGGATCATGAGGATGTGCATCCTAATTACATGTGCAGATTGTGTGAAAACGCACTCGAGAGACGTTGTAGAAGATCAAAGACGTGTGGTGGTGGCTATGCCGAGCCTGTATCATGGGTTGCACACACGCGCACAAATTGCACAGTATGCACCCGCTATGCAACCGAAGCGAAAGGCGGAAGACCTCCGAAACGGAAAGCTGGCCACCACTGGAGTGGAGCAGTCACTGGTGACACTGGTGACACTGACGGTCACAACACCAGAAGGCTTGTACTAGCAAGCTGGTGACCACATCAACCGTCACTGCACTCACAGTTACCCCCTTACAGCTGCAACATGGACGGCACTGATAGCGGCGACAACAACCACAGCAGTAGGGATGCTGGCAGGTGCACACCAACCACAAGTTCCCGCCGCAGTGCGTCCCAGCACACCCAAGCCTCCTGCAACCACCTTTAAAACAGCATCGTGTTCGTCGACACTTCACGGGTGTTTCGCAGGGCCACTCGTCAAGATGGCGACAAATCCGAGAGTACAAAAATTTCGACTCTGCCTATGTGCGCGGCGGATGCGAATCTCGCACGTGCATGCAAAATCTAGCCTTCTGCATGCTGGGTAGAGCAAGCGTGTACGTGTGGGAACGACGACCTTTTCCGAGAGAGAATGTGGCTCTTTTCATCCCAACATTTTGCTCGCCACCCTCTCCCTCCCAGCTTATTGATACGAGTATCTGCTACCGAGTAGAAGTCTCCATCTTCACAGCAGGCCAGGCAAAATCGCAACGTTGAAATACTTTGCTCACTTGGTTTTTTGGTCCTGTGAGGTGTTGATGTGGTTGTTGTGTACAACTCGAAGTGATAAACTTGAGACCCCCGCACCACAAAAAACTAAGGCACGCCACAAAGTTTCGTTTAGCTGTTCAATGAAAGGATGTATGGAAGCAGGGATAAAAACTATCGTGGCTGCCGGCAAAACTCCTAGTAATGTAAGAAACGGGGGTGTGACTTTGGTAATTCCAAGGAGAATGTACGCACGGCCATTCCACAACGAAGACGAAACTACGAGCTCAAAAAAACTCCGATTTTCAAACAAACGACGCAGGAAAGAAGACATGGCCGCAGACGGCGCAGTGTTCCCGTGTGGTTCAAAACACCTAATTTTACTTCGATAGCGGCTGGTTCAGCGCAAATTCAGGCCCAATTCGACAGCGTCGTACCGCTCAGATTCGCCCAAAACACGAGAAAATGTACGGTAGATCCAAATGCGTACGCATTTTGCGTACGGGGACGACTGGCCAGAGTTCATGCACTGCAAACACCCGTGACTTGCCAGTGTGTTAGCCTCCTCACCATCCAAGCTGAAAGGACACTGATAACCAGTTGCGTGGGCATTTGGTCAAGGCAAGACAGTGCGAAGGAACCCTTGAAGTTTTCCAGAGCCAGCGTGGTCGGGCACAAGTTTACAAGCAGTAACGGTTGGACAGGTGTCCTCAACATCCGCTCACAGGGCAGTACTGACATAATTATGTGCTGCAAGAGAAATTCATCAGGGAAATATGTGCCAATAATGAAATCTAGCAATAAACAACAATATATACGTGGAAGAGTACGAAATGCACTATGTGAAAGAAAATAGGAGAAAAGAAGGTGAAGTGCGAACTAATAACAGGGGTGGGCAGGTGAGAAATAATAACAATGTGAGACTCAGAGAGGGTGAAGTGTAAGGAGTACGCGTATTTCCCTGATGAATGCCTCTAGAAAACTTGTTAGGAAACTTTATTATCCATCTTTTATTTTTGTTCATTACTACGTCAAATGTCCGCTTCGCTGATTCTGCTGATTGCCATAATAAAGTGATTGTCTCCGTGCCGCGTATTTGCATGCTAGAGAATCATGGGTTCACTTATCCACGCTTCTTTTTGCAGACTCTTGCCCAGGGGGGGGGGATAAATGCAGGGGCGTCGGAACCGGTGCGGCAGGTGAGGCCAAAGCCGCACCAATAGTTTTATCCTTTGATTTCTGAAGCAATGGAACATGGGCCATCTGGGCCCAATTTCCCTAATTTTTTCCGGGGGAGGACCCCTGGACCCCCAACCTTTCATGGCCGCACCAATGTCGTATACCTTCCGACGTCCCTGTTAGTGACCACACTACATGTACGCTTTCCTTTAATTTATTGCTACGACTACTGTCTCTAATTAATAGTGCTGAAACGATTATATCGATTACTCGTTACTTACTCGATAAGAAATAGATCGAGCGGTTATTTCGATTTTATCGGCTAAACGAGTAGAATGGTACTTACGCTCGGTACAGGATTTCCCCCCTTTTGGGGTCGCACAAAGTGTGCATGCACCGAAAGTGGTGCGAGTACGACACGAATATGTACATGACTGTAAACTTGCAACATCGATGCACATGTAAAAGTACAGGCACGATCTGAGAAACATCGACACGATCACTGTCGCCGTCTTTTCAGCTGACTACTTTTCTTACACCAGGCAGGCACAGTGGGTTGGTCAAAGACCATGATTGAGATACGAGAGGTACCTGGTTCAAGTCCTGCCTGGGAGCGGTTTTTCCAGCCGTGCTGCTACCCACAGTCAACTGGGAACTTGTGGCCAGGCACAAGGGGTACATGGATGCAGCTAATGGGGCCGTTCTCGGCACTTGTGCCAGTGGTTGTGAGACTTATCCACTCACCCCCACCGTTAGGCGCTGCATCTGCCGCTAGGATTTACCGGGTGTTAGCGGCCGTCGTGAGTTCCCTTCGGGAACGGATACGATAATTTACTTACTTACTTACTTACTTTTCTTACATACAGCATGCAGGACTGGCAGCCTCAGTATGTGGCTACACTAGCTGCAGGGGCTGGAGTTCCCTCGACGTGCGGGTAGTCTTGAGCTAAAGACAGTAAAGTGGTCTTCAGTTTCGTGTTTTCCGTTCTGTCGACTGATCCCGAACCAGTTTGCTCGACGACGAGCTAGGCCTGGCGTCGGAGCCTAGGTTGAGCATAGACAGGAAAAGCAACTAGTTACTTGTTGACGCGCCTCAAGTCAGCTTATCTGTCGAAATCTGCCGATTTGCACCCCTGGCCAGCTTCACTGACTTCATCGTCGGAGTCAGCGAAGTCACAGGCGAAGGGCACCATCAGCTCTTGGGTTGCTACCAGTGCGTCGCCTCTGTCTTGTCTGTATCCGTCTGGTCAGTCCGAACAGCTGACGGGCTTGTTGCTTGATCATCGGATCTATGCGCCCGCTTTCCGTCGTTGGCGATGTTGGACTCTTTATTTTTTTTGAAATTCACAGAATGTACATTGTACTGATGTAGTTCCAATAATAATCGTTTAGCCGATAAGCCGATCGTTATGGTATCAGCTTAGCCACTAAGGAAAAAACGTAATCGTTTCAGCACTACTAATTAATGAGCTTGAGGGAGTTATAAAGGACCTCTACCTCTTCAGGCACAGTTTCTGGCTTTGACAACACCAATCGATCCACAACCACTGTATTTGTCAAAATCCAAACCAACTGAGCTATAACAATTTGAATTCATTCGGAATACTTGCATACATTCAAACTTCAACTCACATTTTGCGAAGAAGAGCATGCCACCTGCAAGCCCAGCACCCCCGGCACCAACCAGCACGGCAGCAGTTATGAATTTATTCTTTAGAATTGCTGTCATCACGAGGGCAATAAAGATTGAAACTATTACTGGTACATGTACTACATCAGCAATAATCCAGGAACTACAATTGTGCAATTATTAATTGCGCAAGTACATATTATATATAAGTATTTAGGGTCGCAAGTATTTTAGTTCAAGTAATAAAATTAATCGTCAACGAAATAATTCGAAAATCCATCATGACGTCATGACGTGGCGTCACCGCGGTACCGTATTGTAGCCATGGTGACTTGCTTAGTTTTGCTTTTTTGTTTTGGTTCATGTTTTCAGCTAGCAGTCCAGTCAGACCTACAAAAAGTACCTCGCGTATCCGGTTCCCTCCGCCTATCCGGATATTTTTGTGGAGAACGGACGTGTGCAGCGAGGTCTAGACGTCGGACAAGAGTGGCCGCGCCGGAGCTCAAGAGTCCTGCTCAGTTCATCAGTGCATTTGCCGTCTTCGTCTGGTCAGCTCGTGGTGAACCACAGCAAAGCCCGGCTGTGCAAGAAAGACGTGCACTCCGCCAGCGACACCCACTCGGGCCACGTCAACTGAGGCGAGAAACCTGCTGCAACAATTCCGAACTCTACGAAGACAATGCAAACTTTTGACTAGGAAGAAACGGTCTACATACTTCCAGCAACAACTAATCAATCATCGAAACCACCCAAGAGAGCAATGGAGTGTCATGAACAATCTACTGGGTAGAATTAAAATCAACCAGGAACCTGCTGCCGAAGTAGCCGACATCACAAAGACATTTACAGACGTTGTCAACGATACATCACTTTCTGGCAGTACACTACGCACTCCCAATGGTCCTTTATCGGAATACTCACTGACACAGTTCACACCAGTCACTGTTCCACAAGTCCAACTCCATATCCAGAGAATGAACAGTCGTAAAGCCACAGGACCTGATAACATCCCCGCCCAGGCTTACAAGCTCATCAATGATGAGATCGCCCCATCTTTGGCCAAACTATTTACCATGTCTCTTACATCTGGCGATTTTCCATCGACTTACAAACTAGCAAATGTGCGGCCTATCTACAAGCGTGGAGATAAGTCAGTCCCATCCAACTATAGACCAATATCACTCCTGTCCCACATGTCTAAGCTACTGGAACATATTGTACACGACCAACTAATGTACTATATCTATAATGCACCACCACCACTGGTACCCCTACCTGCTGAGCAATTTGCCTACCGCAGAGGCCACTCCTGCGAGGACTCGCTCACTCCCGTGATCAACGACTGGATGCTCTCCTTGGACAAAGGTGATTATGTCGTAGCTGCCTTTCTAGACATGTCTAAGGCATTCGACACAGTTAGTCATGCAGTTCTACTGAGTGAACTTCTGGAGATCGGTGTCGGTGGTACTGCCTTGCAGTGGTTCTGTAGCTACCTTACCCACAGGAAGCAACGTGTAGTCACCAAGACACAACACGGCCTAGAATATAGCAGCAACAGGGGGGTTCCGCAAGGCTCCGTCTTGGGGCCCTCTCTCTTCAATCTGTCAGTCAGAAAGCTCCCCTCTGTACCCCAGCACTGCAAGGCTCGACAGTACGCGGACGATGTCTCCCTTTACAAAGCTGGCAAGAACGTTGAACAGTTGTGCAAGGAGCTGACGGAAGACATTGTCAAAGTGAAAGAGTTCTTGGCGGCCAGAGGCTTACTGCTGAATCCTTCCAAGACGCAGTTTGTCGTGTTCAGGTCAAAGTGCAAGCCCCTTGACCCCAGCGTCGCTCTACAGCTGGGTGAGGTCACAATCAACCCTAGTGCACACATTCGATACCTTGGCGTTGTACTCGACGAACATCTCTCCTTCGGAGAGCACGTTAGCCAACTAGAGCGGAAAGTTGGAAGTAAGTTAGCCATGTTCAGAAAGGTCCGAGATCACATGACGGTAACTGCGAAGCGTGCATTTTACATTTGTTCCATTCAGACAATACTCGAGTATGGGAGTAACTCATTTGCTCATTGCTTGTCAGTAACTCTTCATGACCGTCTAGTCCGTCTTAGTAATAGAGCTCTACGCATTGTGTTCAGTATGCCTCGCTTTTCTGACGTATCCCTTGTTAATGCACGCCATCACATTCTCCCTTTGTCTGTGCGCTATCAGTTCAAACTCTATATCTTAGTGTTTCGTGTCCTGAATCAGTTAACTACTACTCTCCTTACTGCGGCTTTTGCCTTCGTTCTACTTCTACTCGTACCAATTCCTGCACTCGCTCCCAGGTATCTTCGTCTGTCACTCTACCAAAAGCTAAAACTCGTTTCGGTCTCTTTTCAGTTTCTTTCATCGGTTCCGACCGTTGGAATGCACTCCCCGCTGCAGTCCGCTTATGCTCTTCACTGCACCTATTCCGTAATTCAGTACTTTCATTTCTAGGGTACCCTGTAAGAAGGCCTTAATAGGGCTTGAAAGTGATGACGTCAAAACGGCCAGGGAGTAGTAAGTTGACATCAGATTTCTATTTTTGGATCCACTAAGGTGTGACTTTGCTATTGCCTAAGTATGTGGGTGCATAGCAACCCACTCATGTCGCATGCAGGTGTGACTTTTATTTCGCCACCAGTTGTAACCCCGCCCCCAGTAGCCAAATCAGTCAGTTTCACTGGTTACATCACCTTGCTGTGAGTAAGACGGCTTGAAATGTGCTTGGATCCATACAAAAACTGGATCCAAGTGGATCCAATTTTTGAATTTTTGAAATTGTTGCTATGCTGTGACGTAGCACTTTCAAGCCCTATATTTATTGGGCCCTTACACACTACTAGTACGTAGAAAACCGCTTTTTTGTTGCGTTCCTGTAAAAGTTGCCATGTCGACTGACGTCATATGGCACGAAATCTAAAAAGTTGCGTAAACGTTTTACTCAGATCTCGGACGGGTGTAGAAGGCTGCTTTTTAGCTTTTTAGCTTTTATGCCTTCCCGCGCTTTCGGAACTTCTTGTTGGTGTTTTTGCTGTTTGGTGCTGTGTGGATTTCCGTGTTTCAATTTCAGCTGTCCATTGGACTTTTCGCCTGCTTCTGAAATTCTCGTACCTGAACTCGTGTTGTTCAAGCCGTAGTAGACTCGATCTTGTTTGATTGCTGAGCGCGACACAATGCCGAAAATCCAGTGCACAGAAGAAATGGAGGCGAAGCTCATGGAGCTGTGGGCGATATATCAAAAAACAAGGCGTTCCAAACTCGTTCTCAGGGTACGGGTACCGGGTGAGCTGTCCACAAGTTGCGACCAATTCTGTATTTGACGGTACCATTCCGCAACAGCATGCTGAGCATCGTCGTGACCATGAAATTTGAGCAACTGCGATCAGTCATCTAGAAAATATCAAGAACAGGACCGCCATCAGACGACTTCACTAGCTTCTGCAGGTCCTGTAATATCATGGCGGCAACAATTTTACGTCGCCGCTTTCTCCTTGCCGGAGTCAACCTGAGCTCCATGGGCATGGCTCCAACACAAGATGCAGAACGAAATCGAAGACGCACACACAGCACTCGTTCTGAGAGCAGAACATTTCATCCGAACTGCACTACATGTACATCAGTACATGTACGTAAAAAGCAGATCACCTGTCAGTGTGCAACTGCACTTGATCAGGCTGGCGCATACGCAACGTATGCTCAAGTTAGTTGCGTTTTACATGTACGTAGTGTGTAAGGGCAGGCTTAGGCCTGTGGGGATTGCCCTATCAAAAATTTGATAATAATAATAATAAACTGCTCCGATGACTGAGCCGAACAGCGCGTCAAGTGTCCTGGCCATTTGGCCTCCAAAAGACATTCAACACTCAGTAAGGCCAAAACGGCAAAAGGCAATTGACAATGACAAGCTTGTCTCCGTACAGCCAGTGCTACCACTACACGGAGGACATCGACAAGTGACAGTGACCATGCCCATGGTGACTATGGTCCGGATTAGTGGCAGCAAGAGTTCAAGTATCTAATATTGACTGAGTATGAGGTCAATATAGGAAATAAAAGCCGAGTAAAAGACTATTATATAGGGCTATGGACTCTTGCCAGTCTTGGTAGATCTGCCAGGCATACGAACACCAGGCAAGAGTACAAGTGCAACTAACAACAACACTCAACACTAACAAGTAAGTTACATTGTAACAACAGCAGCAACACTGCACTGGCAGTCTGGCACTCACATGATTTGTGATCATGGTGCTATGTTCATGATGTCTGACAATGATGAGTCAGATCTGCAGAGAGAGTTTTGTTCCAGGCCGGCCGGCCACTGGCCAGGGCCTAGGGACCAAGCACTGAAGCAGTGCACATGCATGGATGGTGACTGTGTGAGAAAGACAGAGCTAGAAAGTTTAGGGTTCACGGCTTGCCACTAAAAGCACCCGTCACGTGCGCCTCCATTTTGGATTATGGACGCGCGCTACAGGCCGCGACAGCGCCTATCGAAGTAAAAAAATATCGACTCGAAGTCTAGCCGGAGAGCGTACTTTTTGAATTTTTCCTTGGCTTCAGTGGCTTCACTTCACTCGGGCTTTGCATTTTTCTGACTGACCTGGACTTGATGATGGCGGCGGTGGCGGTCTTGGCGAAAGATCCAGTTCCATCTGAGACACTCTGTCGTCTTTTCTTATCTGCTGAGGTTCTGGCAAAGCGCAGCTGCATCGAACCTGACTAGATGTAGCTGCACGCATCCTTTGTTTGCCCTGCAAATCTCGATCTGTTGCTGTTTGGCCGCTGATGCCATGGAAGAAAATATTCTTCCTGTAAAGAGGCCGAAACTGAGCTAGGGCACGTCAAGATATGTAGGGTATACAAAGAAAAAGAAATGTCATGGTCGTTTCAGCAGCTCACGACAGCCAACACGCTCCATCGTCGGGATTGGAAGTATCCAGCACGGCTGTTCCGAGCGCTGCTGCTCTTGTTATTCTTCTTCTTCAGAAATTCTCCACACCTTGTCGGCCAAAGTACGCGCGCGCGTGCACGGAAAATAGATGCGCTGAGCCGTTTCTTGTTCGATTTTGACAAATAATGGCTTGTTGTTTTGCTCTCGACCTTGGCTATCCTTCTACCGTTCAGTATTTTACGGAAACGCAACGGCTCCCCCTGTTTTTTTAGCCGAACTTTGGCCAAAGTTCCTGGAAAACCCGGAACTCGTTTGAAAAAATACGAACGGTGGAAGTCTTGGAACGTCTTTCGTGCGTGTGGATTCAAAAATTCAGGCAGTTTGAGCCAACCGTAATGAATCCCGTAGAGTTGAAAGTGAGTGATATTGATGGGAAAATGCGATTTGAGCACTGACCGATTGTGTGGGACAGTATATGCACGCGCCTGTCACGTGCATGATGTAGCCGGCGACGCTAGCATGCCAATCCGTGAACCCTAAAGTTGTAGTAGTAGTAGTAGTAGTAGTACTACTAGTAGTCTTACCACCTCACCCTCGCCGTTGTGTGGGCATCGCCTACGTAGATAGATCTACGCAAACCTCAATCGCGGCTAGTGTAGACAGCTAGCTATAGCATGCGCATGCACCACTCGGGCGAGTCGACGTAGTCGAGTCGGCGGATATGATGTCGACCTGATGTCCGATGAGTGCTGCATGCTTGTCTTTGCACTTCTATTCACACCACTAGCACTCGCACTAGCACTTGCGCGCGCAGCTAGCTGGAGCTACGAAGTAGGAGCTGCGACTCGTGCGAGCTGCTGCGCTGGCCAGGGAAGGCCGTGCCCGCGAGATCGAAAACGCGCCAGAAGCGTATCGATGCACCGACGTGTCCCGTACACTACGGTACACTTCTACGGCACCGTACAAAGGCAGACGCTGCATTGATGAACAGCATTCGCCCAAAATCTCTTCGTCAGGAGCAGTTTCTAAATTTTGACCAAGAGCTTTCTTCTCTTCGTTTCCTTCAAGGCCGACTACCACAATGCAGATCTTTGTCAAGACCCTCACTGGCAAGACCATCACCCTCGAGGTTGAGCCCAGCGATACCATTGACAACGTCAAGACAAAGATCCAGGACAAGGAAGGAATTCCCCCGGATCAACAACGTCTTATTTTCGCTGGCAAGCAACTTGAAGATGGCCGTACCCTCAGTGACTACAACATCCAGAAGGAGTCCACACTTCATTTGGTGCTCCGTCTTCGTGGAGGTATGCAGATCTTTGTCAAGACCCTCACTGGCAAGACCATCACACTGGAGGTTGAGCCGAGCGATACCATTGACAACGTCAAAACAAAGATCCAGGACAAAGAGGGAATCCCTCCAGACCAACAGCGTCTCATCTTCGCTGGTAAGCAACTCGAGGATGGCCGTACCCTAAGTGACTATAATATCCAGAAGGAATCTACCTTGCATTTAGTGCTGCGCCTTCGTGGAGGTATGCAAATTTTTGTGAAAACTTTGACTGGCAAAACGATCACACTGGAGGTAGAACCGAGTGATACGATCGACAACGTCAAGACAAAGATCCAGGACAAAGAGGGAATCCCTCCCGATCAGCAACGTCTCATCTTCGCCGGAAAGCAATTGGAAGACGGCCGTACCCTGAGCGATTACAACATCCAGAAGGAGTCCACACTTCATTTGGTGCTCCGTCTTCGTGGAGGTATGCAGATCTTTGTCAAGACCCTCACTGGCAAGACCATCACCCTCGAGGTTGAGCCCAGTGATACCATTGACAACGTCAAGACAAAGATTCAGGACAAGGAAGGAATTCCCCCGGATCAACAACGTCTAATTTTCGCTGGCAAGCAACTTGAAGATGGCCGTACCCTCAGTGACTACAACATCCAGAAGGAGTCCACGCTTCATTTGGTGCTCCGTCTTCGTGGAGGTATGCAGATCTTTGTCAAGACCCTCACTGGCAAGACCATCACCCTCGAGGTTGAGCCAAGCGATACCATTGACAACGTCAAAACAAAGATTCAGGACAAGGAAGGAATTCCCCCGGATCAGCAGCGTCTCATCTTCGCCGGAAAGCAACTGGAAGATGGCCGTACCCTCAGCGATTACAACATCCAGAAAGAGTCCACACTTCATTTGGTGCTCCGTCTTCGTGGAGGTATGCAGATCTTTGTCAAGACCCTCACTGGCAAGACCATCACCCTCGAGGTTGAGCCGAGCGATACCATTGACAACGTCAAGACAAAGATCCAGGACAAGGAAGGAATTCCCCCGGATCAGCAGCGTCTCATCTTCGCTGGAAAGCAACTGGAAGATGGCCGTACCCTGAGCGACTACAACATCCAGAAAGAGTCCACTCTTCACTTGGTGTTGCGTCTTCGTGGAGGCTGTTAAGCGGTCATGCAACTCTGCACTCAAACACTGTGTACTTGATACCTGTTCTTTACAGATGTTTTCAACTCACAAAGCTACAATCCTACTCGATACATTGAATTTTTACTGCTGATTGGTAGATCTCCTTTCCCGGCATGTATTGTGTACAACCAGCTCCTTTCTACCCGATATTGCCTTCTCATCTTGTTGGTCGTGTCCTTATATTGCGCTGTCTTTCACTTACAATCCTCATCAGGTTGTAACATCTATGTCCCTGGTGTCTTGTGTTACATGAGGCCTGAGCAAGTGCAAGGCAGGGACGTTTTTGGTGGGACCAGACCGGAGTTCTACAAAAAATAAATGCCAAACCCTTTCAGACCTGAATCCTACTGTTTGAGTACGACTCCGTGACTCTCTGTCTCTCACTAGCCCTGAGGTACAGAAAATTACATGTCGCCAGCTTTTGCAGTAAACCGAAGCAACAAGTAGACAGTAATACTAGTACCAAGAGCAGAATATACCGGTACTCTTGGTACAATGTATTATATATAAATACTGTTACAGTGTACCAAGAAGAGAAAGTAGTTGCAGCTAGAGTACAATAATCACAAACTCCAAAGAAAAGTCTTTTGCCTGGTTGAAATGTCCGTCCAAAACTGAACAATTGAATGTTGAAAGGAAATTGTCAAAATAATAATTGAAATCCTGACGAATATTCTCTGATGTACATGTATATGTACCAGTATGTCAAGAGTACATAACCCCCAACTTACCCCCAACTTATGTATTCTTGTTGTAACATCACAATCCGTGACTGAGCATATATCCAGCAGGATTTATACTGTAAACTGCCTAATGTTTGCGACGTATTAATGTTTGCTAATTTTGTGAGAAGAGCGTAACGCAAATATCAACCATCGTGAAATCAAACTTCAACAGTGAGTACCGGGTGTATATGTGCGGCCACAGTGCTCCGCGAACATTTGCCATCGTAAGCTCGCTGGTTCTGAGATATCACCAAAATTTAGTGACGCAAACATTGGGCGGTGTACAGTACCCTTCGGAACTCTGACAGCACTGAATAGACTAATGATAATAATAATGGAAAGAGGCTTCACCTCGGTCTTTTACTCGGCTTTTATTTCATATTGACCTCGTACTCGGTCAATGATTATTAGATACCCATTAAATAACAAGAGTAAAATACATATCGCTCCTGGTTATCATGACAGGCATGCAGTTGTAGAACTGATCACTGCAAACAAGAGTGCAGAACTCTAGCCTAGGGTTCTAACTTCTCAGCGCTCTTGCCGCAAGCCGTGGCAACACCATACAATCAACACATCTTAGGGCGCACTGGTATTAAAACCCGGTTCTTCCATAAAACAAAGATGAAGTCATGCAATGTACAATAAATAAACAACAACAAGTCCTGATCGTATTACTGTATAGAACAAAGAAATGCAGCAAGGATGTTTCAGACAGGACATCACACAATCATCAAAACAAGAGCGGGTAAATTGGAACACCTATGTCGACGCAGCTAGGTAGATCTACACAGAGAGTATGGAAGCAACAGCAAGAGCAGCTAGGGACACAGAGAGTATGGAAGCAACAGCAAGAGCAGCTAGGGACACAGAGAGTACGGAAGCAACCGCAAGAGCAGCTAGGGACACAGAGAGTATGGAAGCAACAGCAAGAGCAGCTAGGGAAACAGAGAGTATGGAAGCAACAGCAAGAGCAGCTAGGGACACAGAGAGTATGGAAGCAACATAACAGCTAGAGTGGGTGAGTTTGAACACAAATGTGGCAGACGCAGAGAGTACATGACTGTTACTCAGGATGGTATTTGTAAAGATAACGTAGGAGCAGTAAGTTGAGCACGATCTAGTTACTCCCACGCACCGTTGCGCTATAGCAAGCGATCCATTCAGCTGTCACATTAGATTTTTTCATGAACATTAGAGAGAGAGATAAAAGATCATATTACAAGTATATCAATAGCTGAAATCATGATAGGAGACACACCAAACAGCACACAACACAAAACGTTAAAAAAGAAACCAAACATGTGTGCACGAGCACACGCACGCACACACGTACGCACACACACACACACACACACACACACACACACACACACACACACACACACACACACACACACACACACACACACACACGATACACCCCATGTATGTCTGTCGCAGGAGCAGCACGCAAATCTACAAATGCACCGGAGATACACAATCATGCATACACGTACACGTACACACACCCACACCCACACACACAGTGTGATAGTATGCTAGCAGTGACACAGGGAGCTACCCATGTGTACGCGCAGACAAATACTAACAGCAACCAGACCAGTAGCGAACAGGAAAGGCCAAAACGTACGCTGCATGGTAAGATTAGCTGTCCCGTGTACGGGTATCTGCAGCTGCTGCTACAGTCGTCTTCTTTTGCACGCATGACACCACCCCGTGCCAACAGCAGTCAGTTATTCATTCTGCTGCGGCTCCGGTAACTGCCTATACTGAAGATCAGTATTCAATATAGTCTCCAACCGCGGACAGCCTGGGCGAAAGACAGTAAGACAGAGAAGTGGAAATAAGCGCACAGCCGAACGTGATACGGAAATGACATCGCAGACAAAGCTGCACATCAATGATATAGAAGCAGATGAAAGAAAGTCAGACGAGTACCGATTCAAAGTGCATTACAGAAGGTAGCATAGTCTTGGTGCTGCCTCCTGTCAGGAGGCCAATGCCAAAGGCATTCAAACAATGCTTTAAAATGCAAAGCCCAACCCTCGCCACAGTCACCAGTAGTTCAATGGGACGTATGTATAGGATATTACCCAAGTACGAGGGTGTTACCTCCCGAATATCATCCCGACTGCGTAGCAGGAGGGATGATATTAGGGTACGGTAACACCCGAGTACGCGGGTCAATATCCTACTTATCCCACGTACATCTACGCATTTTGGGGATCGACGCAACTGCGTTCTGAATACAATTACCAAGGTACAGCTATACCAAAAACAAGATGCTGCCTTTCTTTTCAATCCAGTCAAGGTTTGAGAGCGATGGAGCTCGGGAGACAAGTTGCATTTTAGTAGTTGGACTAGAGAATTGACGAAGATTGCACTGTTATGATACATAGTCATTTGGTTCGAAGTAAGGGCCATACTGTCTTCAAGTCACGGAGAGATACCACGTCAATTTATGGAGGCTGGTGCTGACTTCCTTGTCATTGGATCGGCGTGGAACTTTCAATGGTTTGGGATCCTTGCTGAACACTGTCCGTGCAGGCAGTAACCACATTGTACATATCGTCGGACATTGGCACCAGTGAGTAAAGTGCATTTCGTTGTATCAAGACTCTTTATCACTCTCGGACACTATGCAATCAAAAGAACGTTGATCTTGTTATATTATAGGCATACTGGATTTGTAGCAGCATCTACGTTTTAGATTGTTCTTGTGGTAATCGTACTGGATACAATGTCATGATAATCACTGCAGGTCGCATCTTGCATCAATATCTTATCTACATCACACATGGATTGCTGAGCTCTTCTTCTTTCACACTGTTGAATATTCTGTACAAGGTTTTTCCTCTCACTTTCACGTCTTGTACTTTTCGAGTTGTTACGGTATCTCTCCTTGCAATTAGTAATTTTCACTCGGATGTTGATACTTTGTGTAGTTTTCGAGTTTACAAAGAGTGAATGAGAAGAGATGCACTTCGAAGTCTCCTTTGTGTCGTAGTGTTGAGTTGAATAGTGATTGGAGTTCGTTGTTTGTTTGTGTGGAATCTGGTTTCGGACATAGTCACGGAGGTAAGTTCTCTCCGTTCACTTTTACTGTACCGACGGTGCACTCTGCATTGGCATGCTCTCACCCTCTCACGGTTCTGTGTAGTGCATTTTGTCGCTGGGTTCTGATCGAAATGCTCCAGTGGCAAGATGCATTGCATCGAATCGAGAGGGGGTGGGGGCATGCCAATGCAGGGTGCACCGTAGTAGGTACGGTGAAAGTGAACCCAGTTAATAATGAATATCATCCCGCGCGGGATTGTATTGGCTATTATTTCCCGGTCAGCAAGGCTCCTGATTGGCTGAAACAGGCCTATAGTACCGTACCATGGGATAATCATCAATTTCCCTGCCATTCGGTTTTGCGGGGCAAGTCCACTAAAACCGTACACACTGTGATACTAACTCTGCATAAAAGATCATGAACTTTGTACGGTCAATGTCGGTCATACTCATAAATGTACTACAACGGTTCTACCTGCCAAGTATGGGGTAACTTGCCCCGCAAAAAGGTGACGGCCATCTTAGGGCATGATCGATTGGGCGAATCTCGAGCAAGTGCGCTCAGAGTGAGCATGATCGTTTGGTCGAATCCGATCGAATCCGGAGTAGGTGTACTTGGAGTGGAATCCGACCACACCGGCCCCCACACCGAGAGTGGCTGGAGTGGAAATGGACTTTGCCATTTTTGGACAGCTTTCACAGAATCTTTGTACGATATGCGTACATTTTGCGTACTACACCCTTGTATTGTTTGATTGGGACAGCGTTGCTCGGACCACACCGCCTGCTCGCACTCAATCCAGATTCGGCCATCGATGACACCCTTAGATGCATACTTCCCATTCGAATAAGGTCCAACGACAGCGTACCTTTAAAGTTGTATGATTGCGTCCCTATGTAGCAGATCGTGTGGCAGATGTTCAGAGTTTCCAGATCGGCCAGTTCCAATTTACGCAGTCCTGAACAGGCATGGTGACATCCAATACAACGACCCGATGCCGCCACAGAAAGCAGCAGCGCGCACACGCACGCACGCACACACACACACACACACACACACACAGTGACACATGCACACACACACACACAGTGACACATGCACACACACACACAAACAAACACAAACACACATTACACATAATATACAAGTACCACAAGAAGCTGGCAAAAACGTATGGCAAAGCTAACGTGCAAGGGCATATGAGCATGCCCAAACAGTCTGGAACGACAACCATTATGATATTATCTACTATCTACACTGCTTTGAAGTATTCATAGGGTTGGTTGGGCGAGTTAACTTTTAAAAACAGGAAAAGTGTTTTCACAAGCTGACACGCAGTATGAGATACCACTGGAGAGAGACTGCCCAAACACAAGTATCGGGCCGGGGCCGGAGAGTGACTAACTTAGAAGACAAGCTATCTTTGTTCAAACCGTACGGGAAAACATGATTTGGTGCCTGAGATAATCAGACTCGGGATACAGGTGATCTCCTTTTGTAATGGGGTTTACGACACATTCATTATCACACACAACCTTCCACTCCCACGTGTACTGACACATGCTGGGAGAAGTTTACAGAAGTTCTACAAATTCGCGTTGGCGGTTCGAATGTCCAAGAAAGAAGTTTCAACACAAACACATTTTCGATAGACTTAAAGTTTGTCCTGCAACAGTCTAACACAATCAGCTTTTGCCTGCCTGTAGCTGATAACACATGCCTGCCTGTAGCTGATAACACATGCCTGCCTGTAGCTGATAACACATGCCTGCCTGTAGCTGATAACACAGGTCTGCCTGTAGCTGATAACATAGGCCTGCCTGTAGCTGATAACACAGGGCTGGCTGCCGAGTAGTAAAGTGATGGCACAGGGCTGGCTGCCGAGTAGTAAAGTGATGGCACAGGGCTGGCGGCAGAGTAGTATACAGTAGGCGCTGAAACTGATTCGAACAAAGATTTCTCAAAGTCCCACGATCCTCAATGATCAAGGAACAGAAGTGGAACGGCTGGCATTGTCGTCACGCACAGCACGTGAGCTCTTCTGTCATTATGACGCTACGATCCAAAGTTCCGTTTAGTTCGTGTAGCATGCCACATCTGTATACAGCGGACAACTCCATTGTTCCGTAAATGTGGACAAATAGAGGAATAGCAAAGGGCCGGGGTAAAAGAACAGCGCAGCTCTCACATTCAGTATTTTACAATTTTTTCGCGCTTTTAGGTGTCTTCACACCTGCACCTTTTCGTCATTCCTTCCAATGTGTGTGGGCCACAAAGACAGGTGGTTGGTAATACTGCATGCAAGACGGGCGGTTGGTAATACTGCATGCATGCTGTATGGCATACCCAGAAATCCTACCAAGTTACTGTAGTCAAAGACACATACCAAATTTCAAAAACATGATCGCAGTCTCCCTACCTAAATTCGACACGAATGTGAAGGATAAATCTAGAACCACCAGCCTCTCAAGCTTGTTGACAGTGTGATCGGTTAAGCAATCGTCCGTGATCCTACGCAAGGACATCAACAGCAGACAGAAAATATTGGAAATCAGGCCCGCCGAAACCGGTCCAACTGGTCAGGTCATCGCCGGACCAACTTTTTGGCGACAAGCGCGGGTTTATTGCCGAGTAGGCCATGTGTACATGTACCTACCAATCATATACAGCGTTACGTATGAACAGGCTATGGTCATACACAACGTTACGTATGAACAGGCTATGGTCATACACAACGTTACGTATGAACAGGCTATGGTCATACACAACGTTACGTATGAACAGGCTATGGTCATACACAACGTTACGTATGAACAGGCTAACGTTATGGTATGGCTGGACAAATCAAAAGCTCTTTCCGGCTGTCCTGCAGAGCTGATTACGACTATAGTTGTGCAGTGCCCAGGGGTTGCTTGTGACGTTGTGAGCATGGCAGCCATAACAGTGTTACAGATACAAAAAAAACACATGAATACAGCTGGGCAAATACATGCATGCCATTGACTAGAATGCATGATAGTTGGTGAATATAACTTATATCATTAATTAATGTAGTAGGACTCGCATTGTTGGTCGTTAGTGCTAGCTGCTCTCAAAGTCTGAAAGTCAGCAGCTTCATTGTTTACTGCCATCCCCCTCCCCCTTTAGCCACCGCCCACCAATCCTGGACAGTACGGTGTTTCCACTGCCTTGTCTTCTTGAAAGAAACATGTGCATTCTTAGAGAGTAATGGCTGAAGGCCACCAAGTGGTACAGCACATAGTGTCTGTCTAAGCGGAGTAGTAGTAGTAGTAGCCTGTGCACACGGTTGCGCACAGGGTCAGGCACACATCCGTGCACACAGTTACGCACAGGGTCAGGCACACAGCTGTGCACACAGTTACGCACGCCATCACTGACACAATCAAGCACACTATCTCGCACATCATCATGTATGCACACGAGCATGCACACACCATCACTCACACAATCACTTACACCATCACTGACACAATCACTGACACAATCACTCACACTGTATCTCACACTATCTCGCACATTATCATGCACATGAGCATGCACACACCATCACGCACGCACACACACACCATCACGCACGCACACACACACCATCACACACATGCACTGTGACAGCCATCACTAGCAAGAGTACCTTACCCTGTGTGCGCTAAGTTCAGTATGGTCAAAAATGGCAACTCTGCACATGTGTGTGTGTAAGAGAGAGTGTAAGAGAGAGAGAGAGAGAGAGAGAGAGAGAGAGAGAGAGAGAGAGAGAGAGAGAGAGAGAGAGAGAGAGAGAGAGAGAGAGAGAGAGAGAGAGAGAGAGAGAGAGAGAGAGAGAGAGAGAGAGAGAAACACGTGCCAATAAGCAAATCATTATTTGAATACATATCCGCACCCCCACCCCACACGCATGCACACACCATGTATCATGCACACACACACACACATACACACACACATACGCACACACATACACACACACACACACACCTCAGACCTCAGACCTGCCCATCGCAGAAGCAATGATAGCGAACAGCTATGTTAGACATAGCAACCAGTGCTGGGATTACACCATTCAACAGCTTGCAAGGCTGATGAATTGACCACCACTAATTTACACACACACACACACACACACACACACACACACACACACACGCACGAAGCATGCACACACACACGCACGAAGCATGCACACACACACACCCACACAGACACACACACACAGACACACACACACACACACATATACACGCGCGCGCACACACACACATGCACACGCACACAAGAAAATACAGATCAATTAAGGAAGCATATACTGCATTATACCAGTTGTTACACTGATCAATCTCTACACCCAGTTCACCTTGTCCCAAGCCAACATGCCCTCCCCCCAAGCAAGTATCCCCAATGATATCAGTGTATCCCCCTCCCTCACCGCTGAACGACTCCAGACACGCGTCTGTGATGGATGTGTTCTTCAATGACAACTGGATCAAGTTAGACAGCTCTGCACAATGCACCACAGCACACCACAGCACACCACAATACACAAAACACCATAGTATACCACATGGCACAAGAGGCATACAGGAAACAATGCTACCAAAATGATCAGGCAGATGACCATATCGGTCAAACAAGGCGCAGGGACACTACTCCATGAGTACCGTAAAGTCCGCTGCAAACGCCCACCCCATTTTTGCAAGATCTGCTGGCCTATACGCCCTGACCCCATGCACTTTCACCTCTTCTGTACGAAAGTGCATCTCACACCGTAGCGCGAGGAGCGCTTTGCTACGGTAAACTATGTCCATTTTTCGGGTTTCAAAATGTTTCTGGGAACTAGTTACGAGCTAGCTCCTAGTGATTTTATGATGTTGGTTGTTTTATTTCGCAAATCCAAACGGGAGTTACTTCGGAACAACCAGGTAGCGAAGAACAGGCTATTGCAGGAACCAAATACACTTCTGACGGTGTTTCAAGCCATCATTTCCAAATCACGCAAACCGCAATGACAAGGGTTTTTCTCGAGCACTTCAGAGTTTTCAACAAGTTAAATAGCAGCGACTTTGTAGGTGTAGCTTCTGTGACATCCCCCCTGTTTGACTTGCAACTGCAATACTGCGACCTGTCAAGTCGCTGAATGACGCTACGTCAGAACAATCACCGTTCCATTCTGAAAACGCGATATCTTAGCACTCCAGAAATTTCATGATTTGAAAACCAGATGGATTCTACGGCATTATTTCATGGAGAACGAACTAATAACAAAGACGACTCATTCATCGTATGAAAGGAAATCTCGACCGAAGTCTTTTTCTTTGCAGCAAGATAATGACAATCGCTTTCGCAGAGCCTCTTGGTAAGACATAGCCAGTTTGTAGGCATTATAGTCGTTCTCGTACACATTCGACCTTCATGCCAGTTTTCTACAACTGTTATATTGACCTGAAAAAGACGAAAATAGTATGGACCCGCTGGGGTGGGCGTTTGCAGCGAAGTGGGCGTTTGCAGCGGATTTTACGGTATAAGGTCAAGTAGTCCTTCGAGTCTCAATACACTATAGAGGTTAAACAATTACATCATCATTCGAGGTGTTTGTATGGAGTGGAATAGTCAATTACATCATCAGTCGAGGTATTTACCGTAATGTCGCGTATAAAAGCAGGTGCTTACGGCCGTATAAGCCGGAGTTCAAACCATGCTTCTATTCAAGTTATGCTTCTATTCAAAACATGCTTCTACGTCAACATCATCAGTCTGCACTGTGCAGTGCATACTGCCATGCATGTACGTGCACATGTACTTTGCAGGGAGCGGCTTCGGTTCAAACCGTGCTTCTGTGTCACGGCGCGCTTAAAAATCGGCTTCTTTTCGAGTCATGCTTCTATACAGGTCATGCTTTTATACGGGACACTACCGTATATGGAGTGGGATAAGCAATTACATCATTACTTGAGGTGTTTCGAATGGTGTATCACATCTTCTTTGTATGTGCATGTTCATGCAGTAGGTGAAACATGAACATTCCGCGCACTGTGCCATGAAGAGCTTGCTGTTGGTTTCCATTTTCCAATCATCAGAGACTCACTACCATGGAGTAGGGGTCAGCATGCATGCATCATGAGCTATTAGTGAATGGACTACATGTAGAGCACATACCTTTGAGAGCAGATGCTCCCGTATCCGTAACTAGTTTGCTGTTGTCCAGGACCAATGACTGGATAGTATCGCTAGCAGCACAGCACGACAGCGAACACGACAAATGCCAACAAGACAAAGGAGTTAGTGCTGGTGAGGCATATGCTTTGAAAGAGAATTAATCCTCGGATCATCACCAGGGCCCAAAATGAGTCGGGCATCGGGCATTTGCCGCCCATTTCGATGCCGCCTGGCAAGAAACGATATCGAACGAACAAAGCACCAGAGCACAACGCACGCAACGTTGATCTAAAGCTGACCAGCTGCAGTTATCTATCACCGCAGCTCCGACTGATTACTACTCTCCAGTAATAATAAAAAGAATGCCTGCGTTGCACTTCTGTCACAGTATCCACTACAGGGCACTTACCTCGCCGAGCCATCGGCCATCGCACACAGCCCAGCGTCACAAACCGACTTGACTGTGCGCAGGTCAATTTCCTCCAACGACAATCCTACGCGAGGGGCAGATGCAAACAGGCAAGACACAGACGGGAACTGAGTCATTCAGAGCATGGAGAAGAGACCAAGTGCCGAAGAACAGCGCCTTCAGGATTCGCCACCCGCAAACACAAAGGATAGTATGAAAATACTTTTAAAACATGAACATCACGTAGCCCAGTACCTATGCAAAGAATAACCACATGACAGACCATGCACTGACCATGCACAGAATTATGAGCACACGGAACATGAAAGGCCAATGCATGAAACCAAGAGTACACAATCCCCCAGAGTGCGCAACTTCACCGATCAGATCTGCGACGACGAAATCCGTGTTGCACGTCATAGTGTGACATCATGAGTAGGGGAAGCGTGGATGTGGTGGACCGCGTCGACGGAATGACGCAAGTCTGACCCAAAAAATGACGTACGTCACGGATTACGACGTCCCACAACCCCATCCCAGTTGCGCATTCTGGGGGATTATGGACTCTTGATGACACTCTTCACAAAATCTCCAGGGGAATGCATTGCTTGTGCTGTACTCAGTAACTCATGCATGTTCTCGAGTGGGATGAAACTAAAGTTTGGTAGGCCAGATATTTGCTAAAACGTCACACTCCACTCAATACATGTACCATTACATGCATTGTATTTTTGCATTCAATCACCACAGTATGATGCAATCAATTATCATAGACATAGTATGATGTAGAATGAAGTTGAACACACCACTGCAGCTGTACTTATGGTTGATAAATATGGTGGTAAAGACACACCTGGCAATATGGCGGTAAACACAGGCGCGAACTGATGGTGGTGGCGGTGGTGAGAAGGAGAGCTCTGTGCCAGAACGTTGCAGCTTAGAGAGCGTGTGCGGGCAGGCGTGTGTTTACCGCCATATTGCCAGGTGTGTCTTTAATATCACCATATTTATCAACCATAGTATGATGTACTTCGAAGTAAACGGTAGTTCAATCCATTATTATGATGTAATCGGTAGAGTCTACTGTCTTGTAAGTTGTAGTCTACCTACACTGTAGATATCACACAGTGCACACAGTGCACACAATGCACACAGTGCACACAGTGCACACAGTGCACACAGTGCACACAGTGCACACAGTGCACACAGTGCACACAGTGCACACAGTGCACACAGTGCACACAGTGCACACAGTGCACACAATGCACACAGTGCACACAAATATGCTGTACCTGCTAGGTTGCGCAACAGCTCAACACCACTAGCAGTGGTGCACTCCGCGTCAGGCATTTCCAACTTCTGAAGAGACAAGCCTACAAAACAATGCGGACAACACAGGAGTCAGCATCCCGTTCAAAACAGCGACGCCCTGGCAAGAGCAGTCAAATAGATGATATGCCACAAGGCCTCCGGAACCGGTCCGGTTGGTCAGGTTATCACCGGACCAACATTTTAGCCACCAACATGTGTTCACTACTATGGAGGTCATGTGTACCCACCATATTATACACAGACTGTATGAAAGGCACTGAAACTACCGGACCAATCCAAAACTGCTTCCGGCGGCCCTGGCCGCAATATAACGTGCAACAAGACTGGCACACCAGTTGCATATAAATTACACTACAATGTGTACCGTAATTCCGCGCATATAAGCCCATGGGCTTATATGTCAAATAATGCAGTTTGGGGATAAAATATCCAGTAAAACATGTTCGTTTTTTAGCCCATGGGCCAATATTCGAATTTTGAAGGTTCACGAAAAAGTACAAGTCCGTGCTCATAGTGGGTCTACCATACTCTACTGGTAAACTGCACTGAACTGCTGTACCATGGTAGGAAGAGTCCATTTTGTGAAAAATTCTACTTGACACGTGAGTTGCATTTGTGTCTGTTTATTAGCCCATGGGCTTATAAACGGAGGTGGGCTTATATCCGGATATAGACCCGTGGGCTTATATGCGCGGAATTACGGTAGACCGCAGGGCCTGAGCTCTGCAGGAGAACAAGTCACAGGTAACCGTATAACTTTGAACTTTGTAAGCAACCACTCTGCAATGCCCTCCCAAGTCTAGTTGCACGTCATTTGGCATGTATTGTCACAAGCACAATCACTTCATTGAGCCAGCGGCAGCGGCAGCAGCAGAACAGTGTTGAGCACCAACATGTGTACAGCATGGTTGTCAACAGTACACTAGACTGTTTAACCCTGTGATGCTGCTAGGTCGATATCGACCTACGCTGGCGGTGCATACTAAAATTGATCGCAGAGCCAGTCTTGCACATCTCAGACGCCTGATTATATGTTTACAGAGACCTCTTACTACTAGTGGCTGGCCTATAGATAGCGGTAGAGAAGGCAGTGGGGTTGCATTTGAAAAATATCAAGATTGGATCGACATGATTGTGCACATGCGCAATCAGGCAGCAAAGGTGTAACTCACTGTACACGGCAAGACACAGATTGCCATAACTTACTCTTCAAGACATTGGCCAGGCATTGTGCTTCTACAGGTACGTGCAGCAAGCTCAGGTCACACAGATTGCTCAGTGAGCCTAGCAAAGCCAGGGTCGATGCATCAAGACGGCACGAGCTGAGATGCAGAGCGCGTAGCTGCGAGAGCAACTCAATTCCAGCTAGACTGTGCACCTGTACAGACGGCGTGCACACGCGTACACACACACACACACACACGAGCATGCACAGATACACACACACATACACGTATACACGCGCACATGCATTGCACTCAATATGCGGACAGTACTGACAGTCTGTTCAGTTCACTGCTGGCTCATCAGCACAGGACAGCACAAAGAAACATACCTAAGCTGATAATGAAAAAAATCTCAGTCAGAATTCAAACCAAGTCCGAGATTGTCCAGTACATTCCAACAACACATGCCTTGCCGGCTGCTGTCCAGTACAATACACGTATTCTAGGCATGGACATTTTTCACATACTAGTACACGCATCACTGCTCGAGTCTGACCTTTGTAGAGCTTAGGTAGAGAACTTGAATACCAGGATGACCTGCAGTCAGTGTGGTACAACAACAGCAGCAGCGGCGGCGGTAGCAGCAGCAAGAGCAGCGGCAGCAACAAAAGTGCGCCAAAAACACAGATGTCACAGTGAAATACAGCATCACAGGGAGACACAACGGGGTTGCGCGACGACTGTGCAGTTGCAGTGCAGCAGTGGCAGGCCCAGGTGACCTGGCCAACATCACAGTGTGCTAATAAAATATGGGTGGAAGAGGGTGGCGGAGTAGGAGAACAACTTCTAATGACAATGTACTCAATCCCACCACCAGTTTCAGGTTAATTTGGCCTGCACACTGTACACCCCTCTAAATAGACTCTCCATAATGATGTATCTTATCAAATATCATGAGGCATCAACGTCAAGTCAACAGAAAACAATGATCGGGATTAATGACATTTTAAAACCTTTCATAGATCATCGAATGCGACAATACCGAGTACGTCATTGCAATTTTAGTTAGAGTCTAGGGCCGCCGCCGCAGTGGCGGCAAGGAGAAGAAGCTCTGCAGTGTGATGGAGAACTCAGAATGGGAAAAGGCTAGCTGGACAGTATCTAGAGGCAATGCTTACTCTGAGAGATGGCCTGCAGGGACCTGCTCGTCACCTCCGTGCCGCACAAGCTCAGGTTGGTGAGAGATGGTAGATAGGCAAGTAGGCGTATCAGCTTCTCGTCGGATACCTAGCCATGCGGGAATCACAAAAAAAACAAAGCACATTCACAAGAAGTCCAAAGAAAACGTTGAACGGTCTCTGCTGGGATTACAGCTGCACCATAGCTCAGTGGCTAGAGCATTACTGGCCTCAAGTAACGGGCCCCTGGTTCGAGTCCTGGTGGTGACAGTTAATTCCGTCCTCAGACAATTTCCCTTTCCCATTCCGTCAACTATTGAACATTCACAAGTTAGTGGGGCTTGAGAGGAGAAAAGTCCACCGGCAAATTGACTGAAGCACCAGGAGCTGACCGTTGACAACGTGTCAGTAGATGGCTGACACAACACAGGCTTACTTCAGGTACAGAGAGCGGAAAGCCATTAAAGAGACACGCAAGATACACAATGCTGTGCACAGAGTGCGGGGAGAATGAAATAGACACCAGTGCCAATGCCATCACTAACACCACTGCCATCACGTGTACATGTCCTTACCGACGGGCAAGAGTCGAGCACCAGCGAGGTGAGCTGGGTTAGATCTGGACAAGAATACGCACGCACACACACACACACACACACACACACACACACATACACACACACACACACACACACACACACACACACACACACGCACGCACTCACGCACACACACAGGAGAAGAGCAGTTGCAAAGTCGGCGATTGCCAAGTGAGAGACATTGCACACGATTGTACCAAGGTGGAGTCTACAGAATACCAGAAGTTGCTCTGCTCTCAGTACCTCAAGCATTGATTGGCTCCATAATCCCCCTCTCCCTCCCCCATGGCAAATTATACTACTTCCGACCATTCAGCATCCAGCAATACATTTAAGTTTAAGAACCAGACAGCAGGATATGGTTATAGCTTGCCCCGCTATATGCATGGAAGATCACTACTCCTAGAAGTCCGGCCACGGACTATGTGATGCTGGCATCGGCATGCCACATTTCCCTCATTGCCGACGAGTAGTAAACGTCGTGGTTCACTTTGCGCATAGCTCTGCTGGCGAGACCAGACAGCACCAGGGTGAGGCAATGACAGAGGCACTGCATGACCGCACTACTGTAGCGCAGAGCATCACGCAGTCAACTTGAGACAAGAGACACCATTATGCAACCATGAACACAGCTCCTTACTTCTGAACGCTTCCACGGAGTCCGGTCTGGTGAGCAGATTCTGACAGCCACCCAGACTGAGATAATTCAGTGTTGGTATATCTGACAGGAGCACATACATTATGCAGTACGGACAGACACATCACAGTGTTCGTATATTAAACAGGGTGTACACAAAAATCGTATGGCGAACTGTAGCAACCACTCAGGATCAGCAGCAGGTTTACATCAGGGG